GGCTCTACATGGTGGGGAAGCTGTGCAGACGTGGAGCTGTCCTCCTGGATGGCCAGCCTGCAGCCCTCGCTACGACGTCCTCCGCCTTCTGGGCCCCCGTAGCCAGACCCTCTTCTCTCCCCAGGGCAGGGTGGTTTCTGCCTGGGCTGCAAGGTCTCCCCTTGGTTGGGGCAGTGTTTTCCCTCCAGGCTAGAGCCTGGCTTCTCCCATGCTTTCAGCTTGGTCATGAGGCAGTTTTCCCGGCCATCCAGGGTCACTGGTCTTCCAGACCCATCAGGCTCTCTGTGAGGGTTAGCTCAACCTGGGCCCTGGTTGCTGCCAGAGGTCACCAGCTCCTCCTGTCCAGCTTGGGTCATCTGGGGCCCGGGTCCAGCCCCACATCCCAGGCGTCTAGGTTTGGGGCTGTGCTACTCCCGGGAGCTGGGGCCAGGGGCCCTGTTCTGCTGAACCAGCATCCGGGTTCAGACCCTTCTCAGCCAGAAGCCTGTGTGTGTCTCAAGTCGTTAAAGGTTCCTGAGCATTTAGCAGGCTGTGAGTCTAATGGCAGCACTGTAGCCAGAAAGAGTCTGTTACCTTGAACGAAAACGGTGTTCACTTTATGGCAAAACGTGTGCGACCCCATGATTGTGTTCAGCCAACAAGGAGCCAGAGCCCTGTGCCATGCAGGAGCCTGGTGCCTGGTGCTCAGAGCTGGGCCGTGACCTGGCTGGCTCAGGTAGGCAGTGGGTGGGCCGTGTGTGCAGTGAGTCAGAGTTCCTGGGCTTGGCCGGGCTCCTCTGCTGGGCGGAGTAGGGGTCTCTCCCGGTTGCGTCTGCACTTTCCCCCGGCACCCCCAGGCTCGTGACAGCAGTGGACGCTCCCTGAGCCGTGGGACCCTGCTGCTGTTCTGAGGCACAGCTGTGCTGGCCCGCTTTGGCCGCTGCGTTTGTCCGTCCAGGGGATGTGGGCTTTTTCGAGCAGCTGAGACTTGGAGGGAAGGCGCAGGGGCAGGGCGGGTGTGGGACCCTGCCAGGACGTCAGAGTAGAAATCATCGGGGTTGCCTGGCGCAAGCAGGCGCAGGTGTCCACGTGAGAGGAGCTGCCATGCCAAGCCCGCGGAGGGCTTCAGTGGTGTCACGGAGGGCCCTCAGCCTCCCTGAGGTGCAGACGGAGCTGCCACGCTCAACCCGGTGGGGAGCTCAGGCCAGCGACCCAAGGACAGGCTCCTGGAGAGCTACTTGCTTTGTGAAGATGTCCCAGCAGAGGGGAGGTGGCGGGATCCTAGCTCCCCAGATCAGAAGCTCCCCAAAGTGTGGTCCGGAACTCAGGGGGTCGGTGCTCAGATCCTGAGTGCGAGGCGCCCTGCAGTGAACAGAAGGATGCCCGTTTCTCGACTGTGCTGGGAGCGTCTGGCACCAACAAGGCCTGGGAGGAGGTTCGGTGTCTCATCCACCCCTCCACGTTGGAGCCTTCACTGGGGAGTCGTGTAGCCCCTGCACACCTTGTCTGCCCGGCAGCACTGGTTGAGGCTCCCTCCCCAGGGCTGGTGGCAGCAGCGCAGCCACCATTGACGCGGGTTGTTCCCTAGGTATGTGCAGGAGGTTATGCGGCGGGGACGCGCCTGCGTCAGGCCAGCGTGCGCGCCGGTGCTGCGCGTGGTACCAGCCGTGTCGGACATGGAGCTCTCCGAGACAGAGTACGTGTGTCCCGAGGGTCCTCCCGGTCCTGCCCACCCCGGCCCAGGCGTCCTAAGCCAGGTCCAGTGGTAGAGCCGCCGTCCTGGGCCCCAAGATCGGGCACCAAGCTTGGAAGCAGCTGTGGAAGGAGAGGGTCCCAGCGGCCTCAGGCTCCAGGCTCCTCTAGAGCCTTCTCCCGTCTCCATCAAAGGAGATGCTGGCCAGCACGACAGCATGTGACCCACAGGCCGGCAGGAGGCCTGGGCACCACAGCCAGGCCTGCGGGGGGCAGAGACCGTCCCTGCCAGGCCTGGCTTGAGAGCAGGGTCGGGGCCGCAGGGGCGAAGGTGCTGAGGTGCGGCTGCTGCAGTGTGGGTCTGGACCGCTGTGTGCATCTGTCCGGCCAGTGCGGTCAGCGAGGCTGGGCTCTGCCCCCACCTGGAACGCTGACCACTCCGAGCCCTAGTGAGGAAGGCTTGCCATGTTGACACCACGTGGTTCCACGTGTGCTGTCTGCTCAAGGCCGTAGGAGGAGGGACACAGCCTAAAGACGGGCCTGGAGATCAGGGGTCCCCGGGCCGTGCCAGGCTTCTTCTGGATGCTGGTCCCTTGTGGCTCGTCCTTCAGGTATGCTGGGGTGGCCTTCACGTGTCCCTGGGGAAGCCCCCACATGTTGGCTTTTCTTTGATGGGCCTGGCTCCAGGGGGCTCTGAGGATGTGGCACGGGGGCAAAGTCCAAGAATGCAGCTGGCGGGGAGCCTGGGGTGCGAAGTAGATGGTCACGTGGCTGAGGTGACCCCGTGCTGTCCTGCCATGACGCTGGCTCTGGAAGCCCCTGATGCACCCAGCAAGGAGGAGACCCAAGGGCTGAACCCCAGTGATCCAGGGGCAGCTTCTGGAGCCGTCTGAGGGACCTGAGGGTGGGGCTGGGGTGCGATAGCAAGCGCCCTGTCATCCTGGCACGGCGGTGGCCGCACACCACCTGCAGGAGGACCCAGCCTGGCCTGGGCAGGAGACTGAGGCAGCTTCGCCTTCCTCGGAAGGGCCCACTGGCTGCCACCCCTGGTCCTGCCGAGTCAGGCTGATCCGGAAATGATGCAGTTGTCCAATCCTTGCCCTTTAGCTGTGTTTAAAGTTTGAGGGGTGTAGGTCTTCCTGGGATGGGAGCCATGCAGCCTGCCCCGCCCTCCTAGAGTGGGCAGCTGCAGCGGCCCCGGGGCCAGGCCCCAGCCGGTGGAGGGCTGTGAGCTGGCAGGGGAGACCTTTGTGCTCACGGTGAGTGGAGCTGGTACTGGACTAGACCGCAGTTTCAGATGTTGGGGGTGGGCAGCGGGGCCTGGGGCCCCAGGTGTTCCTGAGTAGCCTGCAGCTCACCCCCATGGGCCTGCCCTGCCTTGCCCTTTGCTGGCGGCCGGAGGCACCCTGTGGGACGTCAGTCCAGATCCGGGGACCACTGCTGCATCTCTTTCCCCAGGGCGAGGTCGCAGCGGAAGGCAGGCGGCGGGAGCGCCCAGGCGTGCGACAGCATCGTCGTGGCCTACTACTTCTGCGGGGAGCCCATCCCCTACCGCACGCTGGTGAGGGGCCGCGCCATCACCCTGGGCCAGTTCAAGGAACTGCTGACCAAAAAGGGCAGCTACCGGTGAGTGTAGGCCAGTGCCCCCTCCCCGCAGGGTATGGGGGTGCCCAGGGGCATATAAAGTTTCCTGCCATTTCATCTCAAGTCACTCATCACACCTGAGCCACCTCTCCAGGCTTTGGGCTGAGGGTGGCATCAGGCCTTCGACCCCACAGAACTGAGCGGCTCTCAAGGGACCCGTCCAGGGCCTTCGTCTTGTGGGCGGGGAAACAAGATGGTCTGTCCCCTCCTGCTGGGCGCTGGAGCCTGCGGAAGCTGGGCACCTCCTGCCAGGGTTCGCCCTGGGCCGCTCAGCCCTGTGGGGCCCTGCCTGAAGCCAACGCTGGAGGCTCCATGTTAGCCCTGGTGGGTGAGCAGAGGGGGCCTGACCCCCAGAGCCCGGCATAGCCTGGCAGGTGGTTCCCTCCGTCCATAAGCGACTGTGCAAACACCTGAGGCGTGTGGCGGAGGATGCGGTGCTGGGGGAGGGCCCCGTCCGGAGACGCCGCCACAGTGCGCAGCCCTTGGGAGGAGACGCTTCCCCTGCAGCTGCTTAGAGGCCCGTGCAGGCACGCCCGGGGGGTGCCCCGTCACCCACACGTGGTGGTTGCATGCTGTGGCTCTGGGAGTAGCTCACTCACACGGGGGGCATGGGGCGTGGACAGGAGGCTCCCCGGGCGGGGCTTGTGCACACGCCGTCCCCTGCTCCTCACGCGCTGCTCACCTCCGCCCGGCAGATACTACTTCAAGAAAGTGAGCGACGAGTTTGAGTGTGGGGTGGTGTTTGAGGAGGTCCGGGAGGACGGGGCCGTCCTGCCCGTGTTCGAGGAGAAGGTCATCGGCAAAGTGGAGAAGGTGGACTGACCGGCGGGCCACGACGCCAGGCTCGGCCCTCGGCGGGCACACGGGTGTCACACCAGGGGATGACCTGTACTCAGGAGCCCTGCGGGGACAGTGCGGGCCTGTGGCCCACGCCTGCAGTCTGCCCGTTTCTGGGTGGGTGGGTGGGGTCCCTCCACCTGCTCTACAGGCTTCTGTCCTGCCCACAAGGAGGCAGCCCTGACCACTCCCCATAGCAATACTTGGAGGGGGCAGCCGAGGTCCCTGCTGCGGGCTTCAAGTGACCCCCAGCGCCTCCCCTGGGCACACGTGTGCTGGGATCTACGTTCCCTCTGGGCCTTGCCCACGAACCCTGGTCTGGCTGGGCCCAGGCCCGGGCACAGGGGCCTGGAGGGCCTGTGTCAATTGTACGCGCCACCGAGTGCCTTCACCGCAGCTCGTCTCTTGCCTGCCACTGTGCGAATCGGCGACAGAGCTGTGCCTGCCGCCCGCCGCCGGCTGCGCCGTCCCGGGTCTTCCTTTCTCGGGCCCGTGTAAATATGTACATTTCTCAGGCCAGGGCCAGCAGGGGCTGCCGGAGCCTGTTTTTCATGCGATGACACTTGGACAATTATCTTTTCAAAGGTACTTGGATAATAATGAAATAAAACTGTTTTTGAACCTGCTCTGGCTGTGGTTTACTGCTGCTGGTGGGGCCTGGTGGCGTCTCCCAGCCTCAGCCCACCTGGTAAAAGAGGTCACACTGGCCTCAGTGGGCATGGGGGGCACCCTGGGGCGCAGAGCCTGGCCGAGCTGAAATGGTCATGTGCTCCACCTTCCTGCCCGGGAGCCCCCAAGCTGGGCAGAGCTGCACCATCCAGCCTTGCTCAGGGACCAGGCACACACAGTCCAGAACCAAGCTCTTTATTTACAGGGCACGGCTCCCTCCAGCACCCGAGGGGGCCGCCTCCCTTCCAGCGGTGGTGTGGGGGACACGGGGCACTACAGCTCCTCCTTGGACCCCACAGTGGAGTTGGTGGGTGGCTCCTACAAAGGGGCACAGGTGCAGCTCGAAACTGCTCCCAGCCTGGCCCTGCCCCCGCCCCTGTCCCGCCAACCCTGTGTAGAGAGGATTTGTGCAGAGGCCTAGAGCCCTGGGCTTAGGGACACCCACCGGGGACGGGGCTGCCAGCTCCTCCGGGGGCTCCTCCGTGGGCAGCTCACCCCCATTGTCTAGGAACTTGGACAAGGTCTCCAGGTCCCTGCTGCTTTTGTATTCAAGCACCTGAGGAGGAACAGGAGGGGCAGGAGGACACGCCAGGGCCCAGCCCCACATGCAGGAAGGATGGCGTCCCGGCTTCTTCCCCAGCCCCCTGACCCCCATACCTTCCGACCCGGCCCTGCGGGGAAGTACTTGAGGGTAGGGAAGCCATGCACTGTGAAAGCGTCCAGCTCGTTGGCTGTGGCGTCCAGCTCAGCGATGATGATGTCCTCATGGTCTTTGTACTTCTCGGCCAGCGCCTCCCAGGCAGGCGCCATCTCCTTGCAGTGGGTGCACCAGGGGGCATCTAGGATGGGGGCCGCCCTTGAGTGCAGCCACCCAGGCACCCCCTGCCCGGCCCACGCACTCCCTGCTTCCCTCAGCACTCACAGAACTTGACAAACACATTCTTGGTTTCATCAAAAGCCACCTGCTCAAAATTCTTGCCCACGAGGGTCTTAACTGGCCGCTGATCCCAGTCAGGGGGTACCTCCTGGCTCAGGAGATAGGGCTGGGGGAAACCAGGCCAGGCGCTTTGCCAGGAATCCTCCGCAGGGCTGGTGGGGGGATCCTCTGCAGGGTGAGGCAGGCCTCTGCCGGGGTGTCCCTCTGCAGGGCAGGCAGCGGAGGGGGGACCTCCGCAGGGTGGGGCATGCTCAGAGCTGCTGTTGCCATCCCCTCCCAAGCTGGTGGGGTGAGGTCATGGCTCCCCTCCCGCAGTGAGCAGTGTGCAGCGAACCTTTACTTGGCCGCTGAGGACTGCGTGGCAGAAGGCAGTGACAGAAGCGGCAGTGACAGGGTCCCCATCCGCGGGTGCGTACTTTTTGGTGGTCTCAACGTTGACCAGGCGCAGGGTGGGGGCTGCCTCAGCCTTGAGGCCGAAGTACTGCAGCACGTGCTCATTATCAGCGTCCACGTCCACCACCACGAACAGCACCTGTGGCAGGGAGGCCACGCTGGCACCCCCACTGTCCAGCTGCCCCTCCCCCCGGACTCCCAGTACCTGCCCCCGGAAGCGGGGAGCTGCCTCCCCAAAGCCTGGTAGGAGCTCCCTGTGCGCAGCCAGTGACTGGTTGAGAAACAGCAGCAAGTGATTGAGGATCCTGGCAGCGAAGATCTTGGGGGATGTCTGCAGTAGGGAGGGTGCTCGTGTCCACAGGAGCCGCAGCCCAGGCACCACCGCTCCGGCTCTCCCGTGGGAGGGTGCTCAGGACTCCCCAGGGCCCCCAGCCCAGACGCCACCATCCCTAGACTCCTCCACCCCGGGACACCCCCTACCCGGGCACCGCAGCATGCACACCTGACTGTTGAACTCCGTGACCAGGTGCATGCTGTGTGTGACCAGGAAGCGTGACAGATCACCCACGTCCAGGCCAAGCTCCTCGTCCACTGGGAAGTCCGCCCGCCCCTCATCAAACTGGACAGCAGAAGGTGGCTCAGTGGGAGCCATGGCCGGACCCCAGCCCCCATCTGGGCCTGATCTACCTTCTTGAAGAGGACCACGGTGTCCTTGGTGAGGCCAAACTGCTGGAACAGCTGCGGCCTGTCCGTGAGGCCAAAGGTCATGTCCAGGGCGTCCCGGGCCAGGGCCAAGAAGGTGGCCACGTCCTCATCCTGCAGGTCCTGTGGGGCCGGCACTGTGAGACCACCAGGTCCCGCAGTCGCTGCCCCGGTAGCCTGGCGCCCCGTGCCCAGTGGCTCACCTGGAAGAAGCCAATGACCACCAGGTCCCAGGCATCGATCAGCGCCTGGGCGCCCTCCTCATCCTCCAGCCGCCTGGCGCTTGGCCCCACCCGCCGTCGTAGCCACTCCACGATGCCTTCGGCTTCCCGGGGTCCTGCAGGGAGTTCCCCTCAGCCTGGGCCTGGCCCCGCCCCCGCCCCCGCCCCCCAGCGACCCGCCTGCCCCCGCACCTGTGTACTCCTCTGGGTGTGTGCGGTTCCCGTGGTGGAAGAACTTGAGCGTGGGGTACTCCGTCACACCAAACTCCTCGGCCAGCTCCGGCTGCGCGGGCCCGTCCACCTTGGCCAGCGTGACCGCCATCGACTCGGCCGCTAGCAGGGCAGCTGCCTTGCTGTACTCGGGGGCCAGGGCCTTGCAGTGCCCACACCATGGGGCGTCTGGGGGACGGGTCTGTGAGTGCCCCAGGCCGCCACAACCCCAGCAGCACCCTGTCCCCACCAGACAACCCAGCAGGGAACAAGCATACTCCTCAGTTCTGCCCTGAGCCCTGGCCATGGCCAAGCCAAGCACCAACGCCCCCTCCCAGTCCCCCAGGCTGTGGCATAGGGACCAGCAAGGCTTGGGAGAGCTGGAAAGACCCCTCCCTTTCCCCCTTTCCCGTCCTGTAAGGTCGGGGCTCCTGGGCTCATGTGGCTGCCTGGGCAGGCCTCCTAGGCGAGAACGGTTCCCATGTGTGTCAGAGGTTGTGAAGAGACCACAGAACACACACATCAGGGACCTCCAGGCCTGAACATGGCTGGGGCCTCTGCAGTCTGTGGCAGGCCCCACTGGCAGAGCAGGGAGGTCCAGGTGCTCTCCTGTCCTGTGGGTACCTCCACTGCTCCTGCCTGCCCCAACCGGACCCCAGGCCCCTCCTAGAGCTCTGTGGCACAGTGGGGGTGAGTGCCTGAGGGGAGGCCTCTCTTGGACACGTGCCTTGCATTTGCAGGCAAAGGGTGTGGGCCCCAGCGGGCCCTGCCGGTCCCCAGTCCCACTGGCCACAGCACTCACAGAACTCCACCAGCAGGCCACGGTGCTCCCGCAGGGCCAGGCCCAGGGTGTGGTGGCTCAGCACCAAGATCCCATCCTCCTTGGGGATCTCCTCCTCTGGAGGCTCCTCTGAGGGACTCTCAGCCCCCTGCTCCTGACCCCACGGGCTCAAGGCGCCAAGCAGCAGGAGCAGCAGCAGCACGGGCAGGAGCTGGCGGCTCATGGTGCTGCCAGGGACCATGGGGCAGGGGCAGATAAGGGAGCCACAAGCCAAGCGGCAGCCGCCACGTAGCACCCAGGCCCTGTCCCAACAAAGATAAGGCCCACGTGCCCCCCCCAGCTCCCAGGGAGTGGAGGCAGAAAGAGGCGACACGCAGGGCACCGAGGCAGGACTACGTTTAATGGACAGTCGGGGGACAGCGCCAGCCCAGGGGGTCCTGGGACAGAGCAGGGGTGGGTCTCGTCACTCACGGGGGTACTGGGGATGCTTGGGGGTCCCTGTGCAGCAACTGAGCAAGGTTGGGGACATACGGACTGGTGGTTCAGTCCTTCCAGTCCTGGCAGACGCGGAGGCCCCACTCCCAGGACAGGTGGTGTGTCCTGTCGTCGTCCGTGAAGAGGGACAGGACCAGGTAGGGGCCCCGCACCAGTGCACCCCTCGGCGCTTCCTCCACCGGAGTCACAAACTCGTACTCCTGGGCACTCGGGCCGTAGCTGCCCACCATGTAGACGGTCTTGTCCACTGGAGAGGGTGGGGGCATCAGGGCTGTCCTCTGCCCACCCCCGCCGCCCCCCTCCCCCGCAACTCCCCCAACCGCTGCCCTCACCACGCAGGCCCCGGCGGTAGGTGTGGTGCAGACACTTGAGGCCGCTGACGATCTCCCTGTGGACCTGGGAACAGAGGCACTGGGGGTTCCTCGGGGGGCCAGGCCTCTGGCTCTTGCCCCCACATGCTCCCTTCACACCCCCGGCCCTGCAGCCACTCTCACCTTGAAGGTGATCTTCACTCTGTAATCAACACCTTCTTTCAGGACAAACACCTGGTCTTTCAGGGCAGCCAGGTCCCCTATTTGGGAAATGGCAGCTAGGGTCAAAACTTCTCTACAGGCCGACATCTGCTCCAGGAGCCCCCGCATGGGGAGTGGTGCCCATGAGGTCTGCGGTTGTGATGGCTGTGAGTACCTGGACGTGGGGTGTGGGGCACAGGGGCACCGAAGCCCACCCGGGAGGGCCCCACCTGCATTCAGGGGACAGCATCCTGCAAGTTACCTGTGAGGTCCATGACCACGGGCCCCGGAGCCTGCTCCGACAGGAGGGTCAGCCTGGTCACCTGCACATTGGGCAGGCTTGGGTCTGAAGAGAAACTGGTAGTCTGCAGGATGCCCCCCGGGCCCCTGCCAGCCCCCCATACCCAGCCCTCCACGCCCAGGCCCCTGCCGTACCCACAGCCGGCGGCAAGGGCCCCAGCAGCGCCCGCTTATACTGGGCCAGGCTCCTGTCTTCCGGGTCCAGCCGCTGTATCTCCAAGAGGCTCTTCCTCCCCGGCGCCCGATACTCAGGCAGAGCCTCATCCAGCACCTCGTCCACTGCCGGCGGCCCACCCTCCTTGTCAGCCAGGAGGACTGGGGGTGGGGAGGGGCGTGAGCAGCTGCCACTAGCAGACCCTGGCATTCCAGCGCCAAGCTGGAGCCCCCTCGGGCCAGCTGTACCTCCCACTACCCAAATAGACTTAAGAGGAAGCCTCTCAGGGCTCAGGGAGAGAGCAGGTGGAGAGGACAGGGGCGGCCTGGGGATGTGCAGCACCACACCCAGACCTTCAGGAGGGGCCCTCCAGAGACCGCCAGGCAGGCAGCTCCCCTGGTCTGGATGGCCGCAAGTCCCCCTCCCTGACTGAGACCAAAGGTGCGGGAAGCGAAGGCTCCAAATGAGGACAGCCCAGGGTCGGGGGGCTACCTGCTAGAGAGCAGCAGCCCTCAGCGGCCTCCCGCCCCTAGTGGTCCTCCAGGTCTCCACCATCCTGCTCTGGGCCGGGGTCTCTCAATACTTTCCCGCAGTCCTAGGAGTTCCTCCCCACGGTGCTTGGGGGCTGGGAGCCACTCTCCAAAGCCCTGGGCTCAGGCTCTGCACCGCCTCCCGTAGTGCCCCGGGGCTGGGGGTCTCCTGAAACCCCCTGCCTGGCACCCTGAGCAGGGGTCTGAGTCCCTGCCCACTTTATTCCAGTCTTCTTAGGCATCACCACACGCCCTACGGAGCTCGAGCCCCAGCCCCACCCAGGGGAGAGGGTCCCAGCGCCGCCGCCTCACCAGCCACCTGGCTCCCTTCCCCACAAGGGTGGAGCCTGGAGCAAGTCCCCCACCCCTGCCAGACCCGGGTCGGGGGTCCGCGACGCGAGGTCCCCACGCGTGCCCCCAAAGTTGCCGCGGGGGAGGGGCTGCTCCCCGCCTGGGGCCGAGCCCCCCGAACCCCCGCCCACCCGCCGCCGGCCCCCGCCCGACCCGCTCACCTCGGGCGCACAGCGCCAGCCGGAGCAGCTCCAGCAGCTGCGCCCCCAGCTCGCACGCGTCCAGGCCCAGCATGGTGGCGCGCGGCCCGGGCAGCCGCGGAGCAGCCGAGGAGCCGCCGCCCGCCCCGCCGCCGCCGCCGCCCCGCTCGGCGCTCAGCCCCGGCGCGACTGCGGTGAGCTCATCCCGGCCGGGAGCGCCCCCCGCGCCCAGCGCCGCGCCCGCGCCGCGCGCCCCCAGCCGCTCCGCGGACCCCGCGCAGCCCCGCAGAGACACGCGTGTCGCCCGCACGGCGCCGGTACCCGGGTCGCCCCCGCCGCCCGCGCGCCAGGACCCCGCACAGAAGCGGCCGCGGTCACGATCCCCGCCGCACGCCGGCCCGGGCCGGGCTCTGGTCCGCAGGGCTGCCCCACCCCCACGGCGCAGCGGGAGCCTGGGGGGGGTCTCCTGGGAAACCCTCCGTGCGGGGCGTGGCCCGGCGGGGTTGGGGGCGCCGTGGCGCAGGTGCGCCCCCCTCCCCAGGGACTTATTATGCGCGATCCACACCTGGGGCCTGGGGCAGACCCTGCCCTCCTCCTCCCCCCCCTCCCCCGCCCGCGAGGGAGCTTGTCTGAGCAGAAAGGGACTCCTGGGGCCTGCCCAGCCTTGGGGTAAGGGCTGGCCCAACACCCTACAGGTTCACAGTTATCAGTAGGGCGGGACAACAGTGGGCACGGGTCCCACACGCCGGGGTGCTTCTAGAGCCACAGAGGCGTACAAGGACTCCTCAAAGGCTTAGTGACCTAGCTGGGCTGTGTGAGTTCCCAGGAGGGGGTGTCCCTGCAGGGCTCTTGGAGACCAGACAATTACCAAGACCCCTGTCCTTGGGGAGAGGACACTGACAAGGAGCAGAACCCCAAGGTGTGGGAGCGCAGAGACCCATGCACAGAAGGAGCTTCTGATCTTGACACCTAAACTGAGACCTGTGGGGGGCGTGGGGCGGGACCAGGCAGGGGACGAGGTGAGCAGGCTCTGGCTGGGACAGCGGGACCAAAGTCCTGGGTATGAATATGGGAGGAGTCAGACCAGCCTGAGCCCCTTTCTTAGACACCCCCTGGCCCCCCATTCCTGTTTCCGGGATACCCTGAAATTAGACCCACCTTGCCAAGGAGCTCCTCAATTTCAGCAGAAGACCACCTTGCGTGCGAGGGGGCACTGGGGTTTGGGTGGGGGCTGTCTCCCTTGCCCCCCCAACACGCTTTCCAAGGCAGATCCTGTGAGGTTGAGCCTCTATAGAGCGCCACCCCTGCTGCCCCTTCACTGCAGGGAGTGGGGGCTGTTCGGACACTTGCCTTCAGACCGACGGTTCCCGCTCCAGCTACTAGGGGAGAGAAAGCCTTGAAGGGGAGCTGCCCACGTTCTTGGCGAGCAAAACAAAGAATTGAACAAAACACACAAAGTAACAAAAGAACAACGAAACAGAGTAAGGAAAGCAGAGATTTGCAGAAGACGCTCCACACAGTGAGAATGGGCTCCACCAAGTAGCTCTAGAGCCTTCTCAATTCGGATTTTTATCAAGCCAGAGGAACCAGCTGGAGCCCTGTGGCCTTTAAAGGCCTCCAATAGGCTACACCCTATGAAGGATTGGCCCGAGACCAATCAGGGGCTGAAGTGGAAACTCCTGTATTGGGATCCCGAGATCAAGGCTGGGGCTGCGTGCTGCCCAGCCCTGCCTAGAACTGGCTGCACCTGCTGCTCCTCTGCTGCAGTCCCAACCCTTGGCTACCCTCATTCCCTATTCCCCTGCCTCACAGCCACCATGGATGCCCACACCTGCAGACAGGGCAGCCAGACCTAAGCCAACCTCACCCCACCTGTGCGAGGGGCATGTCGGGCTCACTGGGATCCAAGGGAGATGGTACCCTGGGGTAAGAGACCCTGCAGGCGCCCTGCCCCAGCTCATGCCAGACGTGGCCTCTCCAGCAATGGAAGTGGACTCAGGCCGCCACGTTAGGGGCTCCTACTCAAGGTCAACCGCACACCCTGCCCAGCCCCAAGCATTCCCTGAGTGGGGACACATGGACAGAGGTACTCTGCCTTCAAGAAAAAAGAAATAGGCCAGGTGTAGTGGTACACATCTGTAGTCCCAGCTACTCAGGAGGCTGGGGTAAGAGAATCACTTGAACCCAGGAGTTAGAGGATGCAGTGAGCTATGATCGCACCACTGCACTCCAGCCTGGGTGACAGAATGAGACCCCCATCTTTCAGAAAAATAAATAACATAACCAGGCGCTGTGGCTCATGCCTGTAATCCCAACACTTTGGGAGGCTGAGGCAGGAGGATCACTTGAGGCCAGGAGTTCAACAGCCTAGGCAACATAGCAAGAAGCTGAGGCTGTTGAGGGCAGGGATGAGCAAGGGGCCGAATGTATATTTATTTCCAAAATAAATTAAAAAAAAAAATTAGTGGCCAGGCATCATGGCTCACCCCTGTAATCCCAGCATTTTGGGAGGCCGAGGCAGGTAGATCACTTGAGGTCACGAGTTCGAGACCAGCCTGACCAACATGGTGAAACCTCATCTCTACTAAAAATACAAAAGAATAATCCAAGGACATGCAAAAAAACAATATTAAAAAAACAAAAATACAAAAAAAATTAGCTGGGCATGGTGGTGCACACCTGTAATCCCAGCAACTTAGGAGGCTGAGGCACGAGAATCACGTGAACCCAGGAGGCGGAGGTGGCAGTGAGCTAAGACTGTGCCCTGCACTCCAGCCTGGGCAACAAACCAGACTGTGTCTCAGAACAAAACAACAACAGACACAAACTAGCCAGGCACGGTGGCACCTGCGTGTAGCCCCAGCTACTCAGGAGCCAGAGGTAGGGGGATTGCTGGAGCCCGATGAATCGAGGCTGCAGTGAGCTATGATCATGCCACTGCACTCCAGCTGGGTGACAGTGGTCGTGTCTCAAAAATAAAAAAAATAGGGGCCAGCACAGTGGCTCACCTGTAATCCATTTTGGGAGGCCAAGGCAGGTGGTTCACCTGAGGTCAAGAGTTCAAGACCGACCTGACCAACATGGTGAAACCCCAAATCTACTAAAAATACAAAAATTTGTTGGGTGTGGTGGCACTTGCCTGTAATCCTAGCTAGTCAGGAGGCTGAGGCAAGAGAATTGCTTGAACCCCTGAGGCAGAGGTTGCAGTGAGTCAAGATCCACCCGCTGCCTGGGCAACAAGAGTGAAAGTCCGTCTCAAAAAAAAAAAAAAAGATCCAGCTTACTTGGTGTCAGGAGTTTGACACCAGTCTGGCCAACACGGCGAAACCGCATTTCTTCTAAACATGCCATAATTGCCCAGGTATGGAGGTTCACACCTGTAATCCTAGCACTTTGGACGGCTGAGGCGGGCAGAACACCTGAGGTCAGGAGTTCGAGACCAGCCAGGCCAACATGGTGAAACCCCATCTCTACAAAAAAATACAAAAATTAGCTGGGAATGGTGGCACATGGCTATAATCCCAGCTACCCAGGAGGCTGAGGCAGGAGAACTGCTGGAACCTGGGAGGAGGAGGCTGCAGTGAGGCAAAACCATGTCACTGCACTCCAGCTTGGGCGACAGTGAGACTGTCTCAAAAAAAAAAAAAAAAAAAAAAAAAAAAAAAAAAAAAAAAAAAAAAAAAAAAAAAAAAAAAAAAAAAAAAAAAAAAAAAAAAAAAAAAAAAAAGTCTGGGCAAGGTGGCTCACACCGATAATCCCAGCACTTTGGGAGGCCGAGGTGGGTGGATCATGAGGTTAAGAAATTAAGACCATCCTGGCCAACATGGTGAAAACCTGTCTCTACTAAAAATACAAAAATTAGCTGGGTGTGGTGGCGCGTGCCTGTAATCCCACCTACTCAGGAGGCTGAGGCAGGAGAACTGCTTGAATCCAGGAGGTGGAGGCTGCAGTGGGCCGAGATTGTGGGTGGGCCCTGAAGGGCCTGGGGCTGGCCCAGCGTCCACCTCTGGGCTAGGGTTAGCAAAGCAGTTGGACGAAGGAGAGGGGCCTGAAGCCAGGCAGCTGCTGGTGAACCTAGGTGGGAGCGTGTGTGTTGAGATCCTCCCTGCAGTAAAGCTCCTCTCCAGCAGTCCCAGGGCACTCTGGGCAGAGTCTCTGCCCATTTCCCCAGCGGGCACACCCAGGCCCCTGTGAAACTGAGGGAAGTGAGCCATGGGCCGTCAGCCTCTCTCCTGGAAGGACCCCCGATAAGGGACCCACAGCAGGAGATGGGGGCTGCTGGGTCACACGAATCACCAGGTCTCGGGTCGCCGAGGCCCTCGCCTCGAATCACACTGCACAGCAGCCACGTGCCCCGCTGACACCCGGCACCAAGCCCGAGGAGAAACGCAGACACCGCTGGTGTGGGGACCCAGGCCAGGCCCTGTCACGGCAGCCTGCGAAGCCCTGGCCACGGGCATCGCGGTACACCAGCCTCGAGCAGTCTGGCCCCAGCCAGGGCGCTGGCCCTGCCCATCCTCAGGGCCTCACACATCGGGCACCGGTTACAGCGGGCCCTAAACCACGGTGCCCACCCCAGTTCACTCTCCTGTACTCACGGAACCCCAGGCCCCTGCATGAGACCTCCGAACGGTAACCCCCCTCCCTGATGAGCCCCTCTCTCCCAGAGCATCCCCTGCACCAGCAGCCAAGCCCTGTCGCCTCACACGCCCCGTCTGCCCCGGCCCCGCCCCCCACCCCCCACCCCCGCTCCCGCCCGCGAGGGCCTCAGCGACCCGGGACGCGGCGGGGGTGACTCGGGGCGCTCGTAGGGCGTCGGCTCATTTGCCTCTGGGCCGTGGCCGGGACCCTTAGACCCGAACTGGGGCCTGGGCGACTCGGGACTCGCGGCCGGAGGGTTAACCTGGGCACGGCGCAGAGCGGGGCGGGGCGCGCCCGGACATCCCCGCCGGCCTCGCCCCGCAGCCATGGCCGCCGACCCCGCGCGGCCCCCCGGCCGTCCCCGGGCGCAGATGCCGCATCTAAGGAAGGTGCGAGGCGGGTAGGGGTCCCGCCGTCCCCCGATTTCCCAGCGCCCGAGGCCGGGAGGGGCCGAAGGGCAAGGGCCACGGGGGCGCGCGGGGCAGGGCGGGCCTGGGGCGGCGGCTCCGCGAGGCCGGGCGCGGCGGCGAGGCCTGAGGGTCCTTGGGGGTCTCCCGGGGTCTCCCCAGCCCTCCCCGCCCCCCCCCCCCACGTCCCCGCCGCCAGCTGCGGCCTGGAATCCGCCGCCGCCGCAGCCGCGCGTTAATCTCCGCGCTCCCGGATCCGGGGCATCCTGGCCAGAGCCGAG